GCACACACATACAGGTGCACACACACGGCACACACACACACACACACCTGCTGACTCAATCACCTACACACGTTTGTCTAAATTGCTCCTGCAGAGTATTTTGCAAAATGCTATGCTCATTAGCTTTAAAATCTGCATAATTGCTCTGATGTTAGCCAGGATATTTGCACACTGTTGGGTGGATACTCTTTACTTGCATATAGTTGGATTTCTCTCTAGCATGGTTTGGGGTGGGATTTACGTTCTTTCTCATAGTTGCACTTGGTTGCTTCATCTTTTTCTAATGGATTGGGATTTATTTCAGAGACCTTCCAAGTCCTTTCCTATTTTCACATTTGTTTCCTATTTTTGATTCATCATTAAATCCGAAAAATCTGTTCAGCAACCTGAAGAACATGAAGTGTTGTTTGGACACCGCAGAGCCCCTTTACGCCCACATCACTTAGCTACAGCACTTGACTCCTGTTCCAAGCCTGTTTGCTTTCATTCTCTCTCTAGAGCCCTTGGGTGTTGGCTTTGCTTTTGTTTGGTCTTTGGGGAGAGAGTACTGAAAGGGGTTGGTGAGTTGTACAGAGACTAAAGACAGAAGGTCTGTCAGGCTCTTGTTCCTCAAAGTTAGTCACAGAATGTGCCTTCCAGGGCTTTCCTTTTTTCATTAAAATCTTCATCCAGAAAGTCATCCATTCATATCGGTTTGTCATATTAGTGTGCCGATTGGTTTTGTCGACTTCACACAAACTCTGACATGGCTGGGAAGCAGGAAATCTTAGTTGAGAAAATTCTTCAATATGGTTGGCCTATAGGCAAGCCTTTGGGGATTTACTTGATTAATGTTTGATAGGGGAGGGCCTAATTCACTGGGGGCAGTGCCACTCCTAAGCAGGTGGGTGGTCCTGGGGTATAGAGGAAAACAGTCTGGCCAAGCCTGAGGAGCAAGTCACTAACAGTTTTCTCCCAGGGCCTCTGCATCAGCTCCTGTCTCCAGGTTCTGGAGCTGACTTCCCTCAGTGATGACCTGAAAGTTGCAGGCTGATGTAATAGACCCTTTCCTCCCCAAGGTTCTTTTGGTCATAGTGATTTAACACTGCACTAGAAATCACAACTAAGACAATTGGTATAGCCAGATCTTACCATTAGTATAGCCAGATCCCACGGAGACACAATGATAACATTTTATAAGACAGTATACAGCATCACAACCAGGATAGCAAATACCAGTACAATTTAATGTGTTCATTGAGATTTCTCCAGTGATTTTGTGTGTGTGTGTGTGTGTGTGTGTGTGTGTGTGTGTGTATGTGTCTGTCTGTGTGTGTGTGTGTGTGTATGTGTCTGTCTGTGTGTGTGTGTGTAAGAGAGAGAGAAAGATTTCCATACAATCTTATTAACATGTAGATGGCTACATATCTACCATCACAGGCTCCCAAGAATCTTTAAAAGGGTAGGGACTGCAAGTATTGAAAAGAACTAACAGTTTTTGACCCTGCAACCCACCAATAATAATTAAATATTTTAAGTAATTAGAGCAATGTCATAAATCTTATATATGTCTCTCAATAATCTCCTTTCCTGGATAGTAGATATCTTTGAATGCAGGGATCACTTTCATGTTTTATGTATGCATTTTACTAAGGCCCTGCTCATGAGGCCCTGCTTATCCTTCCTTCTGGGATGATTGATTCACGCTTAGAATACAAATACATTGTGTTCAAATGCACTCCCTGGCTTCTTAGCCAAGACCAGTGGTTTTCAAAGCTTACATCCTTATTATATTTACTTTCAACTATAGTATGTGAAAGTGTTTTATAGGTGTTTGATCTTTGGAAGGTGATATTTCAGCCTTTGATAAAAAAGAAGTTTAGGTGAGTGCTTCCTGGTGGAGGTAATCATCAAACCTGTGAGCCCACGACCCTTCCCACTGCTGTAGTCTCAGCTCTGTTGGCCATTGCCATCCAGGTATTTATCTTCCCTTCCCTCCTCCTCTCTCTCCTTCTCCTTCTCTCCTCTCTCTCCCCTCCCCATCACCCCCTATTTTCACTTCCCCTCCCTCCTTCTCTCTCTCCCTCCTTCCTTCTCTCTCTCTTCCCTCCTTCCTCCCTCCCTCCTCTTTCTCCTCCCCCTTCTTCCTCCCTCCCT